CTCTTTCCCCCTCAATGTAAACCATATGCACCGGAGCTTTATCAATACCCCTATATGGAAAGACACCATGTCCTCAAGGTGGAATTTTAGAAATTACGTTATGATCAACTCATAAGGTTCCCAAGTTGCCTCAAAGTTAGGAAGGTGTTTCCACCTCACCCGACAAGTACTTACAATCCCTCCTTGCCCATTCTAGTATTGAACACCGACTCGGACTCTACAACCCATCGCATTTGGTCATTCAAAACAAAAGGAAGAGGTTGTGTAGTGGTAGCTTCCCTAACAACAAGTTTAAGTTATGAAATGAAACACGAGTTGTATAAAGGTAGAATTAGGAAGATCAAGCTTATAAGCGACTTTACCAATTCGCTACAAAACCTAATAATGCCCAAAGAAGCAAGGAGAAAGCTTCTCGTTCATTGTTCGAGCAAGAGATTACAGTCTATAGGATCTAAGTTTCAAGTAGACTTGATCACCAACCTGAAATTCAACCTCACAACGGTGTTTATCAGCCTTTTTTATATAGAATTTTGAGCTAGCAATAATTGATCTCGCAATTCAACTATCATGACATCCCTTTTAAGCAACATGTCTTCTAGACTTGAGTTAGGAGTAAGAGTCTGTAGAATTACACCTAAGCGAAGGGGAGGATCTTTACCATAGACTAGCTTGAAAGGAGTGGATTTGATAAATGTATGATAGGAGGAGTTGAATCAATACTTGACCTATGATAGCCATTTATGTCATTCTTTTGGTTGAGAACTCGCAAAGCAATGGAGATAAGCCTCCAAGCACCTATTAACCACTTTACTTTGGTCATCACTTTGTAGGTGGTAAGCGGTACTTTAGTTTAAAGAGGTGTGTTACAAATGAAACAACTCCATCCAAAAATGAATCAAGAAAATCTTATCTTGATCCGACATAATAGATCGAGGAAAATCACGCAATTTGACCACATTGGACAAGAATTCCTCTACCACTTTTTGAGCCGTGTATGGATGCTTCAAGGGAATAAAATGAATGCATTTGCTCAATCAATCCACTACCATTAAAATAGAGTTAAAGCCATGAGATTTAGGTAATCCTTCCACGAAGTCCATCGAAATATCTTCCCGAATGGCATATGGCATCGGAAGGGGTCGAAGTAATCCAATCGGAGAGAGTGTCTCATATTTGATCTCGCTGACATACTTGGCAAGAGGTAGTAAAGTTCTTTACATTTATTTTCGGACCCTCACAATATAATTCATGGGAAATCGGTTTGTAAGTCTTTAAGAATCCACCATGACCACCGATGGGATTGTCGTAAAACTCATTTAGGAGGTTGAACTTGAGAGAAGAGTTGGCAAGGATTACTACTCATCCCTTGTAACACAATCGCCCATGGTAAAGAGTCCATCCGGGTTTGGAATGCGGATCTACCTTTAGTTCGGTAATCACCTTCGCAATTGTTGATCTTGGCTAACTTCGGATGCAATTATGGCCCAATCTAATAGCACATGGACTAAAATGGAGTGGTTTTCTACCATGAAAGGAACTCTATAAAGGGCATTTACGACTTGATTTTCTCAACCCGATTTGTATTAAATCTTAAAGTCATATCCTAGGAATTTGGTGAGCCAATTTTGGTGCTCATGTGTAACCAATCCATGCTCAAGTAAGTATCAAACACTCCGTTGGTCGGTTCGAAAAATGAAATGTCTTTCCAACAAATAATGACATCATTTTTTAAAAAGCAAACACAATGGCCATTGAATCTCGTTCATAAACAAACTTGAGGCGAGCTCTCCCAATCAAAGCTTGGTTATAAAACACAATTACCCTCCCATGCTAAGATAGAACGCCCCCACGCCTATCAATGAAGCATCCATTTCAACCAAGAAGCTCTCACCAAAGTCAAGCGAGTCCCAAAGTGGGAGCCGATTTCATGGCATTTTTCAACTACTCGTACTTGCCTTGGTTGCCTCCTCTCCCCAAACAAATCGAGTCCTTCTTTAAAAGCTAAGTAAGAAGGGCTATAATCTTTTCATAATCATAAACAAACCTTCGATAGTACCCCATGAGGCCTAGGAAACCACGAAGCTCCTTTATGTTTTTTGAGATTGGCCATTCATCCATAGCTCATACCTTCTCAAGATCCGCCCAAACTCCTCCCGAAATAATATGGCCAAGGTACTTCAACTAATCCCGAGCAAAACAACACTTCTTTATGTTGAAAAATAACTAGTGCCTCCGTAAAATCATTAGCACTTCTCTCAAGTGCACAACATGGTCAAACAAAGAAGCACTATAGACTAAAATATCATAAAAAAAAAAAAACCAACACATACCTTCGAATAATACTTTTAAAAATTGAATTCATCAACGCTTGAAACGTGGTCGAGGCATTGGTCACCTCAAATGGCATTATAAGGAATTCATAGTGTCCCTCATGTATCTTGAAGGAAATTTTATGGATTTCTTGAGGCTGCATCCGTATTTGATGATATCCCGATTTGAGATCGAGCTTTGAAAACACACGAGCTCCATTCGAGCTTATCCAATAGTTCATCAATGTTGGGAATGGGAAACGTGTTAAGAGCTGTAGCTTTTTTCAAACCTCTATAGTCGACACAAAATTATCAACTCCCATCTTTCTTTTTTACTAGGAGCACTTAGACTTGAAAAGGGGATGGTACTTTGCCTAATGATCCCCGCCTCTAACATCTCTTCCACTAACCTCTCAATCTCATTTTTCTAGATGTGGGGATAGCGATAAGGGCATACATTAAGCGGCTCAATGTCCTCCATGAGGATGATTGAGTTATCAAATTCCTTAGTGAAAGGCGACTAAGTTAAGGTGCTAAACAGGTCTTCAAACTCTCCCGATAAATAAGCGATTTCAAGAGCAATACAAGTTATTCCCTAATTTTTCATATGCCGAGACATGACATAATTCCGAGTAGTATCCTTTCTCCTTCTTGCTAAATAGTCTTCACATAGTTTTTAGGGAAACCAAAGCCTTGATCAAACTCGGGTCACCCTACAAAACCACCTATTTCCCCCTAGCCGAAATGTCATGGTTAGGCGTCTCCAATCATCTTGTGTAACCCCCAAAGTCGTAAGCCATTTTACCCCCAAAATAACATCGGTACTTTTCATTGTTAATGGCAAGTAATCCTCAACAATAGTAAGCTCTTGTGATTGTAATACCACACTCCTGCAAAGTCCCTTTCCCTTTAATTATTGGTCATTTCCTACTATAACCCCATAGTTCATGGTACCCAAAACTAGTATGTTTAGCTTCTCCACCAAAAATTGAGAGATAAAGTTATGAGTTGTCCCGTAATCAATCAATAGAACAATATCGGTACCCAATATCTTACCGTCTAGCTTTAAGGAACGTGGTTTAAAAAGTCCCACCACCGAGTTGAAGGACAACTCTACTCCATCCAACTCGGCTTTGATTAACTCTTTAGTAGTTAGAGCGTCTTCCAATCCATCACTCGCTCTCTCGATCTTCACTAACTAGTAACACATGGAGCTTTTTGTTTTTATAATGGTGGCCAATCTACCATCTCTCATCATATGTATAACAAAGCCCTTTCTTCCTCTTAGCTTAAGCTTCAATGGCGATCAACCTCTTGAATCGGGAAAGTTTTGTAGTATGGGTTTGGTGTTTCTAGTCGGTTTGGTATAGGTTTGTCCAAGTATTGTAGTAGCTCATGTTTTTGGATGGAAATTATGAAGAGCGTTGATGGTGAAGTTAAAAGAATTCGGATGGTTTGAGTTATTAAGTTTAAAGAGGGTCCATGAAATGGTTTTGATATCGAGCTTATAGTGGATTAAAGGGGGCTCTTTGGGCTTGGGTGTTGGGCCGATGATCCGGTTCTTCCTTTCAATTTGGGTTGCAATTTGTATGGAATCTTTCGAGCCCATGGGATTTAACATGGAAAGCTCATCTCCGATGTGTTCATCTAATCCATTGATGAACACTACATTCATGGTGTTTTCCTCCAACTTCACAGTAGAGGTTGCCAACATTTCAAAAGTTGCTCAATATTTTGCTACGGTCCCAATCTATTTAACGACAAAGAATCGATGTAACATTGATCCATCTTTTGGTCCCAAGAATCATTGCAACATTTATGTTTTCAGTCGATTCTAGGTGGTGAACGATGCCTCCTCTCTTTAAACCTCAACTATGCTTGTTCCTCTTTTTCAAAACAAACTTCGACTACCTTTAGCTTGTCTACTTCGATCAATCGATTCATGGAAAAATATCTTTTTGTTTGAAAAATCCAAGAGTCCGGATCTATCCCTCCAAAAGTTGGGAGTTCCAATTTTAGTGGAAACTTATCCCTATCCTAGTTTTTTCAACTCCGACACTACCTCCACAGCGACGATAGTGTCCACAACCGACCCCAGGGTTGCTCGTTACTTCGTCCTAGCATAACTTGCCTCGGTTTGATCACTAGCCACTCGCTCCTTATTGTTTAGAAAAGAGATGATAAATATTTGCCAAATGTTGAGCAACCGTAGCCATTGAACTCTTCGGATCGGCCACATCGTTCTTCAATACAAGTAAGCACTTGATCTCAATCTCAACTTGTTCCATTCAAGCCTCCGTTCTAGTAGTAAGCATTACCCACAAGGATTAACACTCGATACCAAAATGATAAAACCCCACTCACAAAACAAAAAACAAAATAAAGAGAAAATAACATTAGTAGATAGAAAACAAGAAAGATGAGGAAGGTTGATTCTTATTGATGTAATATAGTCGATAAAATCTCGGTTACAATAACAAAGACAATGGCGGCAATTCTAGAGGCTATCCCTCTCCCACTCTCAACAAAGAATATTTTTCATAACAAACTCCTCATGACTTTACACCCCACGCCGTCCTTTATATATATATATATATATATATATATATATATATATATATATATATATACCTATGTGTAACAAACGCAAGCCAAGTCATCAATCCAAGATATTCTTTCATTATCGACTAGCATAACAAACTTCCTTCATTTGGTGGTGGTTGGGCCTCTCTTTCCCCTTCCGGTGTAAACCATACGCATCGGAGGTTTATCGACCCTACTACTTGTGGCGACGACGGGGGTAACAATAAGTAGAACATCTTTGTTGTTCCCAAATCAAACACAACTTAATTAAAAAAATAAAAATCACATAATAATTAAATAAATTCATTAAAAAATTAATTGAAACTTTTTATTTTAACTATTAAAAAAAATTAGAGATTAAAATCATATTATTATAGTTTTATGATAGATAAATGATTAAACAATTAAAATCATCATAATTGAATAAGTTGAAGTTGCCTAGACTAAGACATAGCAAATCATTTTTTAAAATGATATACATTGTCCGATTAAATTTATGTGATGCTACAAATCAATCATATATTACATGTCATCTCAAGAATATAATACTCCAACAATGTTTATTGTAACTTTATAAGTCTACATCGCTTATAAAGTGAGAAACTCTATGGAGTACTTTCACTTTATGTTAAATGAAATATTATTTAAGATATTCTTTTAAAGTATAATATTATATCCTATAATATAACTAGCAACAAAATTAAAAATTAATTTTTATAAAATCACATGAAATGTGTCTTTCAATATACATTGAGATGTTTTTCATATATTACATGTCATATCAAGAATATAATACTCCAACAATGTTTATCATAACTTTATAAGTCTACATTGCTTATAAAGTGAGAAACTCTATATAGTACTTTCACTTTATGTAAAATAAATTATTATTGACAATATTCTTTTAAGTATAGTAGTATATCCTATAATATAACCAACAACAAAATTAAAAATTAATTTTTATAAAATCACATGGAATATGTTTTTCATTATACACTAAGATGTCTTTTATAGTTAGGCTAAACAAAAGATTACAAACACTTTTAATCATTATTATTGTAGGTCATCATGGCATTAAATTACTGTTAATATTTTTTCTCTTTCAATTTGTTACACACACCATGATCAAACAACAATTTATAGGTGTAATTCGATTAACATATAAAACTTCGTTAAAATTAAAATTTTATAACTGTTAGTCATAATAGTACATATTAATTAAATTAAAAATATTTTTGGATATAAATTCATATTTAGTAGGTTATAAAAAATTATAAACCCTTTTTTGAAGTAGAATAATGATTTTAATAATTTGGACCAAAATTAATTTCTATAGTAAATATTATTTTTTATCTAAACAATCCAACATCCTGCTCCAGTGCTAACTTACAGAGAAATCATCATTATGATTCACTTAGGAGTGCTAAAAAATTGTTATTTCAATGGAAGGTCATGTGGCGTCAATTATAATTTTTTTCAAATCAACTCACAATCGTTGGTATTTTTGCGAAGAAAAAAGAAAGATTAATCGCAATTTCAGGAAAAGTAAAATTGTTCATTAGGCAAATCTCAATACGTCCTGGGCACCTAAAGTGACACTTGCATTAGCTGTTGTTGACTGGGATTTTAAACTTGATTTCGATATCCTGGTTCACGGAGATCACCATTACTGTATTGTGCTCAAGAAGGCAAGGCCTAGCTGTATAATTTTCACCTATTCACCTTTCAGTATTTGGGTGCCTTTCTCTAATTACTGCCGCCCCCCACTTTTGTGTGTGTGTATTTCAGAAGCATGTGCAAGGCCCAGGATTAAGCTAACCAAAAAACTAAAACAAATGACTTCACTTTCACCGTTTCAAAAATTTTAAAAGCTATCAGTTGACTATAAAGCATTTTAACTTTTCATGCGATATTTATTTAAAAAAAATAAAAGAAAAGAAGAAAATTGTGCATTTAACACAAGCATGAAAAAACAAAGATACTCCTGTTGTATAAAAAATAAAAAATAAAAGAAGTACATGTGATACTATTCATCTACTATAGCTACACACTCAAAACCTTTATTCATCAAGTTTTTGTTGTATTTTGATCTCTCATTCTTTAAGAGATAAATTAATTAGTCCCTTTGGTTTGAAAACTATTTTTTTCTTTTATCCTTTTCATCATTTTTCTATTTTTATTTTTTCTTTCACCATTTTACTATTTTTATTCTTTTTTTAAAGAAATTATATAAAAAACATTCTTTGGGAAATAAATTAATTAGTCCATTTGGTTTGAAAACTAATTTTTTTTCATCTTTTTTTTCATTTTCATTTACTGTAGCATTCTCTTTTTTTATTTTTTAACGTCATTCATTCTTTCAGATCCAATGATGTATATTAACTTCTTCACTCATGAATCATTCTCCATTCTCCATTCTCCATTCTCCAATAAATAAACTCTGCAATCTTCATTGCCTTGGAGGTAATATAATTTATTGATAATTTATCCTCTTTTCCAACTATTAAAAAAAAAAAAAAGAAGAAGAAGAAAATTGTGCATTTAACACAAGCATGGAAAAAAAAAAAAAGGTACTACTGTATTTGAACTAAATTCATAGCATAACACAATGCCTGCATTCACTACGTTTGTCTGTCAATGGGGAAAAAGCCAATTAGAAAATAAAGATATACTGTATTTATAACCAATTGAAATAATAGCTGATTCATTGCACCAACTGGAGAGGAAGAGAAAGAGAAAAATGATGGAAAAAAAAAAAAAAAAAGTGGTTGGAAATTTTAACGGTTAGGGTTACTTGGCCTGCTGCTCATGGGCGGTACTTGCACCAATATGTTGTAAGTGGAATAGGCTAGGATATTGGCAGACTAACTGTAGAGCTAGGCCTTGCCTGACAGTAATCTCTGGACATGAGCAAATTTCTGTGTAGGTTCGATCCAAAATCTGACACAACATGCAGGCTGCTGCAGCACCAGCTCGCTGACCATAGTTGCACTTCCTTAATAGAGCACAGGGCTCGAGTCCTTATTAGCCAGCAATTCTACCGTACTTAGCCCAAATGGTTTCATCCATAAAACGGCACTTCTGTTTTATTAAGAGAGGGAGAGAGGGAGGCTTTCAAAAAACAGACAAAACAGAGAGAGAGAGAGAGAGAGGGAGGGAGAGAGATGGGGGGGGGGGGGGGGGGGGACCGTAGGCTAGCGTGTGTTACTTTTTGTATTGTCATTAATTTATTTGATTAAGAGACTTTATTGTACTTAACACTTTAATTATGGAAAGCTTCAAATTATATTTGACTTGTCTAAAGACTTCACCCAACGATTTCCCATTAAACGTGCAGCGTGCTGATGGTCACTTTTTTTTTCAATTCTTGTACACCAATGTACGTACTAGTACCAATGCTTCCGAAACAGAGCGTACACATTCAATTCTCAAATATGAAATGGAGAAAATCGGATATTAGCTTTACTGTATATCCAAGTGTATTTACTCATATTAATTGTTATAAGGTATAGTATAAGCACATATGGGTAGAAAAAAAGAATGAAGAAGTGGAGATTAAATTTGATAAGTCAAGTTTGTAGAAGTGGTACATCATTCTTAGCAGTAGGTACCCGGATGGCAATGAGCAGTTGTCTGATCAATTAATTTAATTTTTTACTCTATATATTCATCATTCATTAAAAAATTACTATATAATTTTTATTTAGTTCATACATATCCCACATCAATTTAATTATTGTTAAAAATAATTTATCAAAATATTTCATTTTAATATTATAATTTTTTAAAAAAGATTTTTTCCTTAAAATTTAATTATGTTTTTACATTTTGGTCTTTTTTATAAGTTTTTTTTCTTAAAGTTTTTTTTTAAAATTTTTGGTCTGTAAATAAAGATAATTTCTTAGAGAATTAAGTGAAAAATCACAAGTTTATCACAATATTCTTTTGTTCCCCACTTATAAATTGAAATTCATAACTTTTTCAACAATCTTGAGGGACGTTCCAGTTGAAAAAAGATTGGTACAAGAGTTACAATCCTATAGTGCGTTTTTAAGCTTATTTGTTAATTAGGATTAGAACCGACAAGTATCTATTTGTATATAAGAATTAGGAAACCAGCTATTGTTAAGAACGTTTTCGCTTAATATTTATTCATTGGTTTCATTGCATTCTCATTTGTTTTTGTGCAATTTCTCTCCTTTTTTGAGAGCAAGCTGAAACCGTAAAATCAGTTAGTCTCATGTTGAATGACGGCACTAGTCATCAATATCAAACCCACGCAGCAATACAAGCGGAAGCTCAATTATGCACATGAAAAATATCTCTAATTAACCTCCTAATCCAAAGAAATTCTATGAAAAATTGAATATTAAAAAATTAACATCGTCTTTTTTTTTTTTTTTTTGTCACAAGGCTCGATGATGGATGCATGCTTGCTGGCCAACATTCATGTATGAATGTATTGATGCTTTGGGGTGTACGAATGAGGAAAAGCTATCACTGAAAAAGCCTGCTAGGAGCTATTTGTTGCTGTTTGTGGGGGATATGAGGATCTCTCTCTTTTCTTTCTTTCTCTCTCATTGTGGTGGGGTTGGGTAGAATCCGATAAAGTTGATATTGAATGCGGTGTAGTGTCGATATTTTTGGCTTCTCCGACTGATCTTTGTGTGGCTTTGCATGCCTCTCAATTCCCTGTGATTCACGTACGTACGAATTTAATGGGGGGATTGAATTGATAACCGAGACCTTTAGCTTAGGTAACCCCACATGCCTTGCCTAGATCAGTTATGTTGCTGTATGGCCATCAGGGATTTGTTGCTCTTTTTGAACCACACAAAGACATGCTCAATATCATATACCCCACAAAAGGGATGGGTTCGAGGGAGCACAGGTTTGCCTTACTTTAATCAATCAATCCCCCCACCTTGTTTTTCAACTTGGATATAGAGTCAAGGACACTGACTGGATGGATCGCCTCACTTTTTCCTAGCTAGTTCTTGAACGTTCACTTATCAAGGGGAGAAGTGATCATGGAAAAAGGTTTCAAGCTCCAATGGTCAAGTACCTCTTGGAAATTAATTTTGAAATAAAAAGTTATTAATTCAAGAAGTTATGTTATATTTATTATTTGATGTCATAAAGATATAGTTTGTAACATTTGTATTAGAATAGCATAAAAAGAATATTATTCTATTGTAATCTTTTTAAGTAAATAGACTTCCTCTCTCCGAGTAAACATAAGAATTAGCTTTTTGTTGTGTTATGTTAATGTTATTTTTAAATTCTGACATGACATTGGAGTTGATGGTTCAAGATTAAATGAGACCAAGATGACTCACACTATGTCACATGATCAAATATCGATGAATTTAATACGGAGGTTTTTTGTTTTACTTTTCATAATTGAGACGAAGAGCTTACCTCTTATAGTTGAGGAAGTGATAGCGTCCATGACAAGTGAATACCTAGTATTTCATGGTCGAGCATCTCATAAGGTTCTAGAGGAGGCTATGTTAGGGAAGCAAGGAAACGCTTCACCAAAGTTGATTTAGGTTTTAAGACAATGTGTGTGAGTTGGAGAAATGGAAGATGTGATAAGCTATTAATTCTCTTATATATTATATGAGTTACAATTGTTACTTATATACATGTATATGAGTATGATAAGCATGAAGTAGTTACAATAGAGAAAAAAATCCACTACCTCGTCCATCCATGCATATTTCTTTTGGCTAAGAAAAACACCACCTATCCCCCAATGCGTCTCTATCTCAAAAAAAATAACGAAAGGGAACTAGGTGCTTTACGACAAAAATGAACTACAATGCTCGAGATCGTAGAAGAAAGCATAGAGTCATTGCTTGTTCATAATAGGCAAATTGTCAACATAAATCAAGCAAAATATGATGTCTATGGCCAACATTTTAAAAAAATAAAGAGATATCAATTTGAGACTCTTGAAAGTCCAAGGAAACTAGTTTGTTGGTGAGGCACCGAAAACATTAACATTGCGTCCGTTTTAACCCATACAAGGAATTTTTTTTTTAATTTGCGAGATATGGGTGGGGCGCAAAGCATAAAAAACCCTATGGTTGAGTCATGTAGACGTCTTCCTCCAATGGTCCATGAAGAAAGGCACTGGAGACATCTAACTATCCAATTGGCCAATTTAGAGAGACGACAAGAGAAAGGATCAATTTGAGTGCCATTGGTTTAATAATGAGACTCTAAATATCATTAAAATCTATGCCAAGCCATTGGTTGAAGACTTTTGCCATGAATGCGGCTTTGCAAAGATCAATGGTACCAGTTACTTTATTCTTCACTTTATATACCCAATTGTTCCTAATGACATTGAATAAAAATTGGCGAAGAACTAGTTCGCAAGTATTATTGTTCAATAAAGCTTGGAATTTAGCGAGTTATGGTTATCTACTAATGAGAGTGGGATCGACCTTGTGTATAAGTTTGAGGTTTAGTATGGTGAATAACAACAATGAAGGTCCAAGTTTAAGGCTACCGGTTTAACACCTATGATCACCCTATGAGTGGATGTTGGAGTCGGTCTATGGATAGTTGATGGATCATGAGCTGGAGCTAGGTCAATTTGTGATAATGGATAATGGATAATGGATAAGGTCGAAAATGAGGGATATTTGAGGATTAAAAGCTAGAGCTAACAAGGTTTTATGGTGTGGGTGGTTGGATGTGGGATAAATGTTTTAGTGGCATGTCTAGTGTATGAGGTAAGGACTGTGGGAGCATGATTGGTGGATAAGGCAAGGATCGATACATGTCTTGTTATGTTGTTGTGGTTGGAACTTAAATTTATGGTGGGGGTCAAGACGTAGGTTATTGGAAAATATTTAGGCGTGATAATGGAATATTTGGGCATAACGAGTGGAAATTGTAGGCATGACGATGGCAAAGGAATAGCGACTTATGGAGGATGAAGCACTAGTAGAGTCCGACTTGGCAAAGCAAAAAGAAATACCTATTCATCAAACAAGATATGGTGTGAGACATGTATTTTTTTTAACGAAAATATTGTAACATAAATAGCCCTTATGAATTTTACTATATCCTAAAAATACACAAAAAAAACATAGGTCTAAAAGGTCAGGGATAGAAAGGCAATTGATAGTATAAATGGTAGCATCAAAAGCATAGGTCTAAAAGGTTAATGGAACACATTCATGATTAAGGAGTGACAAGTCTCGTTTCTATAATATGATGGTGTTTTCGTTTAACATAACCATTTTTTTCGATGCCTTGGGGTAAGCACTTTTTTTAAACTTGCCATTTTTAGTAAGGTATTTGGTTAAGATGTGGTATGCTCCTCCTCAATCGACTCGAAACTATTTAATGAATTTGTCCCTACTAAAAAATGGAGTTTAGCGATGGACTATTCCATCGCTAAACGCCCCAATTCCGTCACTATTCTTGAATAGCGATAGAATAGCAACGAAAAATATTCCGTCGCTATTTCGCTTGTCACTAATTTTTTGGGATAGAATATTCGATCCGTCACAACATTTAGCAAAAAGAATCCGTCACTAAACCAAAAAAGTCCGTTGCTAATCTTATCATCGAATTGGTCATTTTGTTGATAACTAATCCATCTTTATTCCATCACTAATTTTGAAATAAATCCATCGCTATTACGTCACTAATTTTGAAAATAAATCCGTCGCTATTCCGTTGCTAATTTTGAAAATAAATCCATTGCTATTCCGTCACTATTTTTGAAACTAAATGCGTCACTATTTTATCACTAATTTTGAAAATAAATCCATCGATAGTACGTTGCTATTTCAAAAAATAAAATTATCACCAATCTGTCATTATTTCGTCGCTAATTTCAAAAATGATTTTTCATAATTTCATCATTTTTATTTACATTTTTTGAAATTAAATTATTAATATGACATTTAATAATTTATATTTAATAATAAATAATTATAAGTAATCATGTATATATGAAAAATAAAATAATATTAATAAAATCATTCTAGAATACGTTCTATAAGAAAACAACAAAACAAACAAAGTGATCTGAATATTATATCACCCATCATGCTCGTCTAATCCGATATCCTCATCCTCATAATGTGTGGAGGGCTCGACTAGAGGCTGAACTCGGAGCTTGGGTGGAAGAAATGATAGATTACCGAATGATCGATGGATCTATAAACAACTCGGATGTTTGTGCCGGTCGCATCAATAAGGATGCCATCAAATCGTATTGAGACTTCATACTATAAATAGTCCGATTTTGCTCGAGATCCGACTTTTAAACTTAATCATCTTTTCCTTCGTAGCCTCATAGTCCTTTCGAAGCTTTTCGCTAGTCGAATTGATGATGTATTGTGACGTCATGGAGGAGGAGCTGCCGCCACTCGACCGAGACACATAATGCACCGACCGTGTAAAATATTTTCTTCTTCTCTCCGATAGCTCTATAGGTATATGGCATTCTAATCTAGTTCGGCTCCAAGATTCCTACCTCCCTCCGAGTCTTAACTTCCTCATTGATGAGCCGCACCATACGGTCCTACGTAATCAACAAAATAATATCATCGTTACAAGATTAAAATAAATTTTAGATTAAATTTTCATATTTAATATTTAAAATTGAAAAATACTAACCTTTTCCTACTAGGAGTGCATATCGAAGAATGAACCATCTCGTTTCTTGTGAGTCCTCTAGAACAACTCAAAACTCGTTGGTCGACGTCCCAATTCCGCTACCTAAAAAAAATTATTACGAGAGAATATGACAAGTCCCAAATTGAAATGTTATAAAATAAGTAAATGATAATAAAGAGTGTAATTTACCAAGCGACGTGCATGCTCTTGTGAAGATATTGAGCCCCTATATGTCCGGAAGAACCCGAACCGGGACCACCGATCTTTGATAATCGGTTCCGTGATGCTTGCTCTAAACAAGCCATGCGATCGGGTTTCTTGAAATCAACTTGCCACACATCCTATATCTCCTAACTTATATATATAGGTGGCTTATCCATCAAACTAATCTTGTATATGAAGTTAGCATAATGTTTCCTAGCAACACCCTCCTATGTCGCTCTAACAAGCGCATTGATGTCCATATCCCATTCAAAACATTTCTACACAAGTAAAAAAATTTATATAATTTATTTGATGAGAAATTTTTTTTTTAATTATAAAGAAAATTGAAAATGCGTTACTCGAAATTCATTAAAGTAGAAGTCTTTAGTGACGTCGGGGACATCCTTCCAAGATAATACTTTCTTCTCCACCCGTTCCTTAAAAATCTCATAGATCCTCATAGAATAATCTCTATTATACGGAGTCAATCTATTAAAAAAACAATAAAATGATGAAAGAAATATTTTAAACACGAGTAATTATTGAAATTACATATTAAAAAAATAAATACATATAGTTCATGTTCAACGAAACAATACACTGCTGATCTGGATGAGTTGTGAGAACTCTCTAGAGTGTTAGACACGTGAATGGAGGGGCCACTCTCGGAGGTCGATGATGGAACATCGAGTGCTAATATAGGAAAACTTGTCGATGCGGATGTGCTAGCTCTATGACTATGAGAGTCGTTGGATCCACAAAAAAGTCTTGTTGTTGGAGACCCACGATCGATATTGGTAAGGGATCCTAATGGACTACCCTCCGACGGTGATGCTCATCCATAATTATTGGAACGTGATCCGATAGTGACTACGGAGGGATGACACAAACCATGACTACCACGAGTTATTCATTGTATGATCTAACGTTAAATCAAAAAATAAAATACAACAAATATATTGTCGAGTCCATTCATGGGTAAATAAATTAAAATACATCATTTGTTATGGATATAAAACAATCAAAATATACAATAAACATTTAGTGAAGGTAGAAAACCCAAGACTAATAAATCAATAAAGAGATAAAAATTACATAATTTCTTACTAATACAAAAATGAAACATAAATTTAATTAGAACTATCGTAATCATTGTTTAAGTTATCATCTTCATTATCCGACACATTATCATAATAATTTTCTTTCTCAACCACACCTACTTCTATATGTACAAACGATCCATTTGGATCATTCAACAAAGTGACATCCTCGACTTTGTCTATCAATTCATGTCGGATTTTTGAATTGTCCTATCGAAATGGTTCAACATTTTGTTTGACAATAGCCGATGATTAGGAAAGTCAAACACGGACCTAGCTTTGATCTTACACATAGCCTACCAATCTCGATTGTCGCATCTTAAGCTAAAGTACTCCATATAATACACTTGAGCCGAATGTGATGCTAGGACAAATGGTTCATAATTGTTCAAGATTCTTTTACAATTAACATCTATAAGTTTGTAGTGTGGATGAACCCTTGCTCCTTGTAGTGTGGAATCGAACCAATCACATTTGAACAATACTCGTTCTCTTGATTGGTAATATAGGATACTCTACTTTAAGAATTTTCGTCGGCATCCCGTAATAGTCACTCTCGGTTGAATTGTAATTGCTTCCTTTAATGCAT